AAATATTTTAAAAGTTCAAAACATTATCAAATACAGTTGTAGACACAACTATAGTTTAATTTGCACTTTAAATTAATTTTGTAGTTTATTTTTAAACATTTTGAATGTATTTTAAAGAAACTTTAAACTTGTCAAAAAGCTGTTGTTATTGTTTGTCACTAATATGAAGAGCAGCTACCAGTTTAAAAAGGCTTTATTTTCATTTGTACTTTATCTACTGTACTTATTCATGTAGAATACTGGAAATTTAACCCTAAAAATCATCCATAAAGTGGGGGGATGGTATTATACATGGGTTATGATGTAAATACAATAAAAATTAAACCAAGATTTATAATAATTATCATTTTGATCCATTAGTAATGTCTGACTGGGCCTGATTGGGCCCCGAGGTGAAAAAGGTTAAGAAGCYCTGGTCTAAACTCCAGCAGAGCAGCTGTTACCTTCATGATCCTCCAGTCGGACTCCCAGCTCCGGTAACGTATCGTCCCGGACCACGTCACAGACCTGGAGCAGCTGGGTCACTGCAGGTTTGGAGAAACATCAGTTACATCAGAAAAACATGGCAGAGCATCTCAGTGAGTGACGGCAGCGTTACCTTTCTGCTCTCTGGCTATCTTCCTGACGTTCTCCCTGAAGTCTGACAGAACCATGAGGTACGGCATCACCGTGCTCTCCAGCTTATCAAAATAAAAGCATGTTATAAAGTCTGCCACAGATCTATTAACACACAACTTTCACATTAAACAACGATGTGTACTTACGTCCACACTCTGGGCTTGTCCTCCCACGGGGAACCCTATGGGCTCCGACACTTCAACTGCACCAAATATCTAAACAACAAAAGCTTGGTTCAGATTCCAGTGGGTTCAGGAAGTCTGGATGTTTGGGAGGAAACTGTAAAGAGTGAGTAAGKGAGGCCAGCAGCCGACCTTCAGCATGTTGGTGAGGTACGCGGCGATGCTTTCCAGCAGCATGCGGTTGGGCCTCAGCTTGGCGCTCTTCCTGTTGGCGATGTAAGAGTTGCTGTGGCTGACCAGGACCCTCATCTCCTCCAGCGCCGTGCGAGTGTCCACGTTGTCACACAGAGCCTGGTGCACGGCACACTTCCTGTCGTAGAAACTAGAGCACACAGAGGTTYACACAGGAAGTCGTGGTTCAGATGTTTGGAGATCCTGAGCGATGCAGAGTGTTGTTAACAGCTGAGTCAGCTTCTTACAGGTAAATCAGAGTTTTACACAGTGACTCAGCTCTGCTGCCTCACCTGCTGTTCAGCTCCACCTCTGCAGCCTCCCACTTCTCAAAGCAACCCGTGACGTCTGTAGGAGCCCTCAGGATGTCCTTCACGTTGAGGAAGAACTCCTGCAGATGAAAGCAGCTGTTAGAAACCRGCCTGCAGAGAACCTGAGGACCGCCCTGCCGCCTCTTACGTTCAGGAACTTCTCGTACTGGACGGCCGACTCCATGGTGTTGGACGAGTAGTCCAGGGTGTCCTTCCAGGTGTGCATCAAGAAGGCCAGACGGAGCTGACGAGCTGCAGGGAAACAAACACCATGAGTGTGTGTTACACCATGAATGTGTGTGTGACAGCAGTGTGTGTTACACCATGAGTGTGATACAGCAGTGTGTGTGTGTTACAGCAGAGTGTGTGTGTTACAGCAGAGTGTGTGTGTTACAGCAGAGTGTGTGTGTTACAGCAGAGTGTGTGTGTTACAGCAGAGTGTGTGTGTTACAGCAGAGTGTGTGTTACAGCAGAGTGTGTGTGTTACAGCAGAGTGTGTGTGTGACAGCAGAGTGTGTGTGTGACAGCAGTGTGTGTGTGACAGCAGAGTGTGTGTGTGACAGCAGAGTGTGTGTGTGACAGCAGAGTGTGTGTGACAGCAGAGTGTGTGTGTGACAGCAGAGTGTGTGTGTGACAGCAGAGTGTGTGTGTGACAGCAGAGTGTGTGTGACAGCAGTGTGTGTGACAGCAGAGTGTGTGTGTGACAGCAGAGTGTGTGTGACAGCAGTGTGTGTGACAGCAGTGTGTGTGTGACAGCAGAGTGTGTGTGACAGCAGAGTGTGTGTGTGACAGCAGAGTGTGTGTGTGACAGCAGAGTGTGTGTCACACCATGAGTGTGTGTGACAGCAGAGTGTGTGTGACAGCAGAGTGTGTGTGTGACAGCAGAGTGTGTGTGTGTGACAGCAGTGTGTGTGTGTGACAGCAGAGTGTGTGTGTGACAGCAGAGTGTGTGTGTGACAGCAGAGTGTGTGTGTGACAGCAGAGTGTGTGTGTGACAGCAGAGTGTGTGTGACAGCAGAGTGTGTGTGACAGCAGAGTG